ATCCATTATCACTAGAGAAAAAAATTTGGAAACAAATTTCTTCCGTTATTGAAGGTTCCATTTCAAAAATATTTCCAACAATACTGGGTGTTTTATGAAAGCGGGAGGACTCGGAGACGAGTTTTTTCAAATAGAACACCCAGTATTTTTTATTCAAAATTCATTCCGCTACGGTTTAGCTCTACATCTCTGTGAAAAATATTGGATTCGGTTGAGGCGTTGCCTAGTTGTAATTGATAAACCCATTTTTACTACTATTGAAGGGTCATGTTGAATTGGAAAATCCATTTTTTACGTTGAAACCGGGAGCAGATTCGTTACCGAAACGTCCAAAGATAAGTAATAAGTCGATATTTTTTCTATATTCTTTCATTACTTTTTTTCAAACCTTTTTCAATACAAATTGTCACTGACAAGCTAGTGAATTTTTCTTTTAGGCTCTCTGATAGGAAAATTGTTTAAACGCAGTGACATTTTGGGGCAAATCATCTGATTTGCCATCACAACACGTATATTGAAATTGAAATAGTATTCATATTTTTATTTTATAGATACGAAGAGAGGAAATCCAAAAAATATCTGGAATAATGAGGAAGCATTGGTTAAAAAAAAGAATAATGCTTTTATAAGCTCTTTGAATTTTGGACCATAAAAATGTCCTGAGGGGTCAATTCTTGGGACTATCCTTCTATAGAGATATATATATTTTTGCTAATTATACAGGGTATGTCACGACGAGCTTACACTATCTTCATATCGAGAATCAGTCGGGAGAAATTCATGAAAATGTGCATGCATGTTTCAATAAAATGTCAGTAGATAGTAAATCAAATGTTAAGATACGGACATGAGAGCCGTTTCGACTAAAAATGAATAGTTTCGTCACAAAAAAATTCTAAAGTTGAAAAATCTCGATTTTGAACACCCTATATCTCTTTAATCATTCTCGCTAGACCCCAACTGTGAAAGATCGATGAAATCAGCTTTTCAGGGAGAATCTGTGAATTCAATAAAATACAGGGTATTCAAAATAAAGAAGTTAATGATATTTCCGGAATAACTGAAAAAGTGGCAACATTGGCGATAACATCCGACACGCTTTGAAATCACCTTGTACATTAATTCAAAAAGGTTACCGAGATATTTGCTTGGTTCCATACTTCATCCCAACCCTGTATAGTCTGAAGTTACCAACCTGGTCACGTGAGCATCGAGGATAGGGCGCAGATCGTTCTTGTCGATGACGATTTCGTCGCCGAAGTCCACGTAGAAGCAGAGGGCCTTGTCCTCTTCGATTTTGAGTACCAGCACGCGGCAGTACTCGAGGTCATCGGGGTCTTTGGCCAGGTAGATGTTGCCCACTGTGACCGATTGCAGTTTGGGGTAGTTCGGTTTAGCGAGGCTCTGCTGGATTTCCTTTTGGAAAGCGTATAATCTGGAATGGAGTAACTAAGTCAGTATCAAACAAAGATTTAATAA